TTTTACGAATTGGTCAAACCCAAACTCAAACAAAAACATTGTTTTCAATCGTTATGATGAGTCCCACGATTGAATAGAATTAGAATTTTATTATAAACAATTGTCTTGTAAATGGAATTTTTAAAGCATTCTGAATGTATAAATAAAGAAAAAAGTGTGCAAGACAATAAGAAACACTACCTGCCAAAAAAGAAAGTGGATGTTTGTTTTATCGGCTGAAAAATGTAAGAAATCCGATCCCATATATAAAGGAACACACACACACACACAAACAACCTGGGTTTTTTTTAACTCGATCTGAGTTGTGTCCCTTTCATTCTCACGATATGTCTTAATCGTGTTTTCAAATTGATTTTCTTAAAAAACAATTGTGTTTTTTCCATTTTCGGCGCCGTTAGAACTACCACAAGGTAATTTTATGTAGTCCTGTGAAGTTTTGTTGAAATCGGCTAAAAAATGTAGGAAATCCGATCCAATATATAAACGTTACACACACACACACACACACAATCTGCGTTTTATAATAAGTAAGATCGATAGAAATTCCATTAATGATTATCAACATAGTCTTACTGAGTTCGATCCTCATTGGGAACTCCACTGTTGTGTCCTTACACAAGATAACGATAAAAAAAAATAATAATTCTTAATGGAAATTGCAGCAGGGTGAGGTTTATTAACCTAGATTTAATGACTGATTTCTATCCTCATTGGGAACTCTATTTGTACAAGACAAAGATAAAAATAATAATTTTAAATGGAAATTGCAGTAGGGTAATGTTTATCAACTTAGTCTTATAGAGTGAGATCGATCCTCATTGGGAACCCCAGTATGCCAGACTAAGCTAAATTTAAGAACTATCTAGAGACAGTACCTTCAATTGAACTCTGGTTGGTAAACAGAAACCATACCCAGTCTGGTTCTCCAAACCACCACGGGGCCAAAACATAATCTGTTATTTTGGCCTTTCAATAATTGACAGTGATATGGGTCACATAGTCCTCTTGTAGTCGTGGTTTACTCTTCTCAATGGTGGGTTGGAATTCAAGATTAAAGGCTGGTTTGAGATCATAAGTTTCCTTCTCGAAAGTTGATTGACGATCTCATCTACCACAAGTAAAAGTCCAAACGAGAAATTCGCATTCCTTAAATAGGTTAATTAAACCCTGTTCTTTCGGAATCTTACTGCGAAGCGTTTATCAACAACTTGAAGCTTGTTCAATTCGTAATCACCGCTAATATACAGGGTGTTGCTGTAAAATCCGACACTTGGCAAAAAGAAGACGAAATAGGCAATAAAAACAAAAGTTTTATATGCAGACGCCCGGCAGTTTGACAGCTAACTAACGTTTTTCTCTCTACCCTTTTCCAGAAGGATAGAATATGAGCGCAGAGCAGCGGTAGTAGCTTCTTTTTGCGCCGGGAAGAAGCCTGCGGAAGTGACGGCCTGGTTTGGGTTCAGGAGGACCATCGTCATGGACATTTGGAGGAAGTGGTAGGCGTGTGAGAAAAAGGACGAGTTTTCTGCGAAACGAAAGGCCCACAGCATTTGTTCTTCGGCCGTTACGTCACTTAGCATCCTGAATCTGAAATATTATCGGTCTTGACCTGGCATCTCGGCTTCAGTCATTTCCCCACTGTCGTAACGTATCTTCCCTATGCCTTTTCTATAAATATTTTCATGGTAATTGTTCTGATGAACTTTCCTCTATGGTACCTAAACTTTGCGAATTTAAGCGCAGTACTAGATGGGCGGCAAGGTCTCATCACTTTGAAATGGCTAGATGTAACCGTAAGTTCTATGCTAACAGTTTCTTCTTTCGTATTTCTCACTTGTGGAACACTCGACAATGATGGAAGCCAGATCTACGCCAAGATCGCCGCTGACATGAGCTGTCACAAGTGGTCGATCTGTCGAACGTTCAAGAAGTTTTCCTCTTACCTCATGATCATTTACGTCATCTCCAGCGAGGTGGGGGGCGTCATGCCTCCGTACTTCTTTCAATAAGGCCTGAGAGTCACCGCTGGGATCTACCAGGAGGTGCTGGGGAGAGTGGCGAAGCCCTGGATGGACAAGATCGCCACCGGACGTCCCTGCGTCTTCCATCAGGACTCCGCTCCTGTACACAAGGCCAAGACGACCCAGGCGTAGCTGCTCAACAATGTTACTCACCCCTGGTCGCCTGACTGCAACCCCCTTGACTATATCTTCTGTGGCGTGATCGAGGCCAAGACCAACAAGCATGCCTACAACACGGTCGACTCTCTGAAGGCTGCCATCGTGGAGGCGTTCGCCTCTGTGGACAAGGACATGGTCGCCAAAGCGTGTGACTCGTTTCGCACCCGCCTTGAGATGGTCGTCGCCGCCGGCGGCGGTTACATTGAAAAATAATGTCGTATGTAACTCTAACGGTTGCTCAATAAACTATCGGGTATCTGCATATACAATTTTTGTTTTTATTGCCAATTTCGTTTTCTTTTTATCAAGTGTTGTATTTTGCTGCAACCCCCTGTAGTTCTGAGGAAAGAAGGCTTGGAGAATTTAGCACCCACAGGACATATTGAAGCTACGGGGTCAGAAAGAAATAGTGAGTAACCAAACTAACTTGTTTACGTTAATGAATGGCAGAGAGATAACAAATAGGAATGCTTTACTCTAAAGAGACAAGAAGCCGTGAAGGTCTGTGATCGTCGACACGTTCTGAAGGGAAAAAGCCACATAAAAGATTTATAAAAGAATGGATGACAGAACAGAGACCAAAAGAGTTGTTAAAGCGTTAAACTTTACTAAGGTTGCAAAAGACAGGAAGTTGTGGAGAGCTATGAACGCCTATGTACTGAAAGAAAAATACATATAAAATAAGTTGAAGGAAGGAATGAATGACAACGCCGGGACAAAGAGGAATCATAAAGAGTTAAATGTTGCTAAGGGCTATAATAGAAAGTTGTGGAGAGCCATGATCGGCCTCGTATTGTAAAGATTAAGTATATAAAAGATGAAGAAATTAATGGATGACAAAGCGGGGACAAAGAGGACTGGTAAGAAGCTAAACATTGCTTAAGGTTAAAAAAGACAGGAAGTTGTGGAGAGCCATGATCACCCACCTACTGGAACGCAAATCTATATAAAAGATGTAGGAATGAATGTATGGCTGAGCGGGGACAAAGAAGAATGGTAAAATGTCAAACGTTGCTAAAGGCTACAATAGACGGGAGGTTGTGGAGAGCCATGATTGTCCACGTACTGGGAAGAAAAGGTATATAAAAGATGAAAGAAGGAATAAATAGCAGATCTGGGATAAAGAGTGATGGTAAAAAGTGAAACATTGCTTACGGTTACAAAAGACTGGAAATTGTGGAGAGCCATGATCGCCTACGTACGTGAAGGAAAAGACAAAAGAATTTGAAGGAAAAAATGGATGGAAAAGTGGGAATAAAGAAGGTGGTAAAGAGTTAAACATTGCTTAAAGGTGCAAAAGACTGGAAGTTGTGGAGGGCCATGGATGCCCACATACTGGAATGCAAAAGTATATAAAAGATGAAGGAATGAATGGATGGCAGAGCGTGGGAAAAGTGACATAGTAAAAAGTCAAGCATTGCTAAAGGCTATAATGTACGGGAAGTTGTGGAGAGCCATGATCGCTCACGTTCTGGGAGGGAAAGACATAAAATAAGTTGAAGGAATAAATGAATGACAGAGCCGGGGGCAAAGAAGGATGGTAAAGACGTAAACATCACTTAATGTTACAAAAGACTGGAAGTTGTGGAGAGCCATGATCGCCCACGTACTGGAAGAAAAAGACATATAAAAGACGGTGAAAGAATGAATGTGCAGCAGAGCTGGAACATTGATTGATGGTAACATGTCAAATGTTGCTAAGGACTACAATGAACGGGAAGTTGTGGAGAGACATGATCGTTCACATACTGCGAGAAAAAGGTATATAAAAGATGAAGGAATGAATGGATGACAGAGCCAGGACAAAGTTTGACATTACGGTTACAAAAAACTGGAAGCTGTGGAGAGCCATGATCGCCTACGTACGAGAAGGAAAAGACATAAAAGAAGTTGAAGGGAAAATAGATGGCAGAGCGGGAATAAAGAAGGATGGTAAAGAGTCAAACATTGCATAAAGGTGCAAAAACTGGAAGCTGTGGAGAGCCATGATCGCCTACGTACGAGAAGGAAAAGACATATAAAAGAAGAAGTTGAAGGGAAAATAGATGACAGAGTGGGAATAAAGAATGATGGTAAAGAATCAAACATTGCATAAAGTTGCAAAAACTGGAAGCTGTGGAGAGCCATGATCGCCTACGTACGAGAAGGAAAAGACATATAAAAGAAGTTGAAGGGAAAATAGATGACAGAGCGGTTAATAAAGAAGGATGATAAAGAGTCAAACATTGCATAAAGGTGCAAAAACTGGAAGTTGGGGAGAGCCATGATCGCCCAGATAGTGGAAGAAAAATACCAAAAGAAGTTGAAGGGATGAATGTGCGTTTGAGCCGGGACATTGAAGGTTGGTAAAGAGTGAAACATTGCTAGGAGCTGCAAAAGACAGGAAGTCTTGGATAGCCACGATTGACCAACTTTCTCAAGGAACACAGTACATAAAAGAAGCGATATGCTCTTAGTCCCCTATTGATTATCGATCGATAATCAATATCTCACTGAACGCAAATATTATAGATACCACTTACATGTTTGTTGATTCTTTTTATTTTATTGCCTGGATCTCAAACAAAAACAAATGATTGCGTTTTGTTAAGTTTCGTCAATCAATAATATTTTTGGAAAGGACTAATTAATTCATTGACTAATGATTCTCTTTACTTGAACAGAAGTTTGTTTTGTTTTTTGTTTTCTTGGGGGGGGGTTATTTATTTATTTTTGTTTGTTTGTTTTGTTTTGCTGTTGTTTTTGTAAATGTTTTTCGTTTTTTTTTTTCTTTGAGGACCAAGTGTTTCTTTCTTTGCAATTAGCAAAGATGCAAAGGTTTCAAGAGATATGATAGATAGATAGATAGATAGATAGATAGATAGATATGGATGACATTCGACAGATAGATAGATACGAAGAGACTATGATAGATAGATAGATAGATAGATAGATAGATAGATAGATAGATAGATAGAGACTATGATAGATAGAGAAGTCTTCTCATTCTCTTGCTGTTTTATGCCAATTCGGCCATCGTTTTTTATCGCGCAGCCCTTGATGATTTATTGTGATTCCTTTTAGTGTTTTTTCTTATTTTTCTCATTCATTCGTTCTTATCTTAATTTTCATTCTCAATTCTTTATCTTGAATTTCTTTTCTCACACTTTTCCAACTTTTTTCTTCTTCAAAAATTGTTTTTTCTTCTTTTTCTTCTTTTCTAATTTTTCTTTTCCACTTATTTCGTTTTCATCTTCTTTTCCGATAATGCTTCTTCACAAATGTTTCTTTTTCTATATTTTCTTCAATTTTTCTTCTTCAATTTCTTCTTCTACGATTTCTTCTTCCATTTCTTTTTCAATCTCTTCTTCAGTTTTTCTTCTTCAATTTCTTTTTCTTTAATAATTCTTCATTTTGTCTTCTACGATTTCTTCTTCAGTTTCTTTTTCAATTTCTTCTTCAATTTTTCTTTCTCAATTTCTTCTTCTTCTTTAATGTTTCTTCTTCAATTTTTCTTCGACGATTTCTTCGTTCATTGCTTTTTCAATTTTTCTTCAGTTTTTCTTCTTCAATTTCTTCTTCTTCTTAATATTTCTTCTTTTTTTTTCCTACGATTTCTTCTTCAATTTCTTCTTCAATTTTTTCTTTTCAATTTCTTCTTCTTCTTTAATGTTTCTTCTTCAATTTTTCTTCGACGATTTCTTCGTTCATTGCTTTTCAATTTCTTCTTCAGTTTTTCTTCTTCAATTTCTTCTTCTTCTTTAATATTTCTTCATTTTTTTTTCCTACGATTTCTTTTCAATTTCTTCTTCAATTTTTCTTTTTCAATTTCTTCTTCTTCTTCTTCAATTTTCTTCGACGATTTCTTCGTTCATTTGCTTTTCAATTTCTTCTTCAGTTTTTCTTCTTCAATTTCTTCTTCTTCTTTAATATTTCTTCATTTTTTCCTACGATTTCTTCTTCAATTTCTTCTTCTTCAATTTTCTTTTTCAATTTCTTCTTCTTCTTTAATGTTTCTTCTTCAATTTTTCTTCGACGATTTCTTCGTTCATTGCTTTTTCAATTTCTTCTTCAGTTTTTTCTTCTTCAATTTCTTCTTCTTCTTCTTTAATATTTCTTCATTTTTTTCCTACGATTTCTTCTTCAATTTCTTCTTCAATTTTTCTTTCTCAATTTCTTCTTCTTCTTTAATGTTTCTTCTTCAATTTTTCTTCGACGATTTCTTCGTTCATTGCTTTTTCAATTTCTTCTTCAGTTTTTCTTCTTCAATTTCTTCTTCTTCTTTAATATTTCTTCATTTTTTTCCTACGATTTCTTCTTCAATTTCTTCTTCAATTTTTCTTTCTCAATTTCTTCTTCTTCTTTAATGTTTCTTCTTCAATTTTTCTTCGACGATTTCTTCGTTCATTTTTTTTTCAATTTCTTCTTCAGTTTTTCTTCTTCAATTTCTTCTTCTTCTTTAATATTTCTTCATTTTTTTCCTACGATTTCTTCTTCAATTTCTTCTTCAATTTTTCTTTTTCAATTTCTTCTTCTTCTTTAATGTTTCGTCTTCAATTTTTCTTCGACGATTTCTTCGTTCATTGCTTTTTCAATTTCTTCTTCAGTTTTTCTTCTTCAATTTCTTCTTCTTCTTTAATATTTCTTCATTTTTTTCCTACGATTTCTTCTTTAATTTCTTCTTCAATTTTTCTTTTCAATTTCTTCTTCTTCTTTAATGTTTCTTCTTCAATTTTTCTTCGACGATTTCTTCGTTCATTGCTTTTCAATTTCTTCTTCAGTTTTTCTTCTTCAATTTCTTCTTCTTCTTTAATATTTCTTCATTTTTTTCCTACGATTTCTTCTTCAATTTCTTCTTCAATTTTTCTTTCTCAATTTCTTCTTCTTCTTTAATGTTTCTTCTTCAATTTTTCTTCGACGATTTCTTCGTTCATTGCTTTTTCAATTTCTTCTTCAGTTTTTTCTTCTTCAATTTCTTCTTCTTCTTTAATATTTCTTCATTTTTTTCCTACGATTTCTTCTTCAATTTCTTCTTCTTCAATTTTTCTTTTTCAATTTCTTCTTCTTCTTTAATGTTTCTTCTTCAATTTTTCTTCGACGATTTCTTCGTTCATTGCTTTTTCAATTTCTTCTTCAGTTTTTCTTCTTCAATTTCTTCTTCTTCTTTAATATTTCTTCATTTTTTTCCTACGATTTCTTCTTCAATTTCTTCTTCTTCAATTTTTCTTTTTCAATTTCTTCTTCTTCTTTAATGTTTCTTCTTCAATTTTTTTCTTCGTTCATTGATTTTTCTTCGTTTTTTCATTTCTTCTTTTTCAATTTCATTTTTTCAGATTTTTTTCTTCTTCAATTTCTTCTTCTTCTTTAATATTTCTTCTCAATTTTTCATTTTTTTTTTTTCCTTCAGTTTTTCTTCTTCAATTTTTCTTCTTAATATTTTTTTTTTTTCTCAATTTCTTCTTCTTCTTTAATGTTTCTTCTTCAATTTTTCTTCAATTTTTCTTCGACGATTTCTTCGTTCATTGCTTTTCAATTTCTTCTTCAGTTTTTCTTCTTCAATTTCTTCTTCTTCTTTAATATTTCTTCATTTTTTCCTACGATTTCTTCTTCAATTTCTTCTTCAATTTTTTCTTTCTCAATTTCTTCTTCTTCTTTAATGTTTCTTCTTCAATTTTTCTTCGACGATTTCTTCGTTCATTGCTTTTTCAATTTCTTCTTCAGTTTTTCTTCTTCAATTTCTTCTTCTTCTTTAATATTTCTTCATTTTTTTCCTACGATTTCTTCTTCAATTTCTTCTTCAATTTTTTCTTTCTCAATTTCTTCTTCTTCTTTAATGTTTCTTCTTCAATTTTTCTTCGACGATTTCTTCGTTCATTGCTTTTTCAATTTCTTCTTCAGTTTTTCTTCTTCAATTTTTCTTCTTCTTTAATATTTCTTCATTTTTCCTTCGATTTTTCTTCAATTTCTTCTTCAATTTTTTTTCTCAATTTCTTCTTCTTTTTAATGTTTCTTCTTCAATTTTTCTTCGACGATTTCTTCGTTCATTGCTTTTTCAATTTCTTCTTCAGTTTTTCTTCTTCAATTTCTTCTTCTTCTTTAATATTTCTTCATTTTTTTTTTTCCTTCAATTTTTCTTCTTTAATTTTTTCTTCGACGATTTCTTCGTTTTCTTTTTCAATTTCTTCTTCAGTTTTTCTTCTTTAATTTTTCTTCTTCTTTAAATTTTTCTTCGACGATTTCTTCGTTCATTTCAATTTTTTTTTCAATTTCTTCTTTAATGTTTTTCTTCAATTTTTTCTTCAATTTCTTCTTCTTTTTTTTAATTTTTCTTCATTTTTTTCTTCAACGATTTCTTCTTTAATAATTTTTTTTCTTCAATTTCTTCTTCAATTTTTCTTTCTCAATTTCTTCTTCTTCTTTAATGTTTCTTCTTCAATTTTTCTTCGACGATTTCTTCGTTCATTGCTTTTCAATTTCTTCTTCAGTTTTTCTTCTTCAATTTCTTCTTCTTCTTTAATATTTCTTCATTTTTTTTTCCTACGAATTCTTCTTCAATTTCTTCTTCTTCAATTTTTCTTTTCAATTTCTTCTTCTTCTTTAATGTTTCTTCTTCAATTTTCTTCGACGATTTCTTCGTTCATTGCTTTTTCAATTTCTTCTTCAGTTTTTCTTCTTCAATTTCTTCTTCTAATTTAATATTTCTTCATTTTTTTCCTACGATTTCTTCTTCAATTTCTTCTTCAATTTTTCTTTCACAATTTCTTCTTCTTCTTTAATGTTTCTTCTTCAATTTTTCTTCGACGATTTCTTCGTTCATTGCTTTTTCAATTTCTTCTTCAGTTTTTTTTCTTCAATTTCTTCTTCTTCTTTAATATTTCTTCATTTTTTCCTACGATTTCTTCTTCAATTTCTTCTTCAATTTTTCTTTCTCAATTTCTTCTTCTTCTTTAATGTTTCTTCTTCAATTTTTGTTCGACGATTTCTTCGTTCATTGCTTTTTCAATTTCTTCTTCAGTTTTTCTTCTTCAATTTCTTCTTCTTCTTTAATATTTCTTCATTTTTTTCCTACGATTTCTTCTTCAATTTCTTCTTCAATTTTTCTTTCTCAATTTCTTCTTCTTCTTTAATGTTTCTTCTTCAATTTTTCTTCGACGATTTCTTCGTTCATTGCTTTTTCAATTTCTTCTTCAGTTTTTCTTCTTCAATTTCTTCTTCTTCTTTAATATTTCTTCATTTTTTTCCTACGATTTCTTCTTCAATTTCTTCTTCAATTTTTCTTTCTCAATTTCTTCTTCAATTTTTCTTTTTTGATTCTTTTTCCTTTTCTTTTCTAATAATGTTTCTTCCCAAATGTGTCTTCTTCTATATCTTCTCCAAATTTTTCTTCTTCAATTTCTTCTTCAGTTTTTCTTCTTCCATTTCTTCCTATTCACTTTTTCGTCTTCTCCTATTCCAGTTCTTCTTTAAATCAGTCTTTTTCATCTTCTTATCCAATAATTCTTCTTCTTAAATGTGTCTTATTCTTCATCATTTACAATTTTTCTTCTGCCGTTTTCCTTCTTCATCTTTTTCAATTCTTTCTCTTTCATCATCTTTTCAAATAATTCACCTTCCGACATGTTCCTACTTCTATATTTTCTCCAATTTCTTCCTCAATTTCTTCTCAAAAAAATCCGTCCTGGGTAAGACGTTAAACTACATCCGCGTCCTGGGTAAGACGTTAAACTACGTCCAGCAGCTAGACTTCTGCTCAGGAGGTTTTGAGGAGCGTGGGACTACCTGTTAATTGCTGGTGTTTGCAGGTTCACCCCGACCTGGGGTGGTAACACCTGTTAGGGTCCCAGATATGGGCAAATAGTTAACTATTAACAGCAATACTTTTTTGAAAAAAAATATTACCAGCCATACAATTTTGAAGGAAAGATATTACTAGAAACAGATTTTTGACTAAACGAAATATTACCAGCAATAAATATTTTTGTCAACATTGTGTGGCCCATGAAGGTTGATATGCCGTGGGACAGAATAAACCAAACCAATCTAAACCAAAGAATACATATTCTATTCATACGAATCTATCCTAAAAAGGTTGTCGGCATTAAATAATCCATTGAGATTAATATGCCGTAAAACAAAATAAACCAAACCAAACTTCTCAAAAAAAGACAACACTGCCGCTCGAACGCTTGGAGTTACTGAGTTTGGAAGAGAACGAGAAGACTTTAGTGAGGAGAAAAGACACAAAAAAGACAAGTTCTAGGAATGAAAAAGATGGCGATTGACGTGGGATTTAAAGTTCTAAAGATGATAGGGTGGCAAGGAAACAAGTAACCGAAAGAGAGTTCCACATGTGGGAAGTGCTGGAAAAAACTATTAGAATAGAACTTCCGGTTACATTCAGATGATTCAAGACTAAAATCTAGAAGCCAATCTAGGAGGACACGGACATTCAGCCAGACGAGGTACGAAGGAAGAGTCGTCATTAAGACAACTACCATGGAAATAATTCTAGAAATGTCCGGTGGGGTTCTAGTAGATTTCATATTCTGTAAGAGAGTAACGTCGAAGGTTTTGAATCGCTCCATGACGTTGCTGTCAGTCTATTGAGAGTGAGATAGTCACATTCAATGGGGAGGTACTGCACCATATAGGGAACCTGACAAGCTGGCCGATCACCGTGTCTTAGTATAAACGAGGGCGTGTATTTTGGATTCGCCGATGCCGAGTTGAGAAAAAGTGCTGTGATAGATAGATAGATAGATAGATAGATAGATAGATAGATAGATACGAACTGACTTAGATAAAAACAGACTGAGATAGATAGATAGATAGATAGATAGATAGATAGATAGATAAGAATACACTGAGATAGATAGATAGATAGATAGATAGATAGATAGATAGATAGATAGATAGATAGATAGACTGCGATCAGCGATTGATAGATATTATCGGATTGAGATAGATAGATAGATAGATAGATAGATAGATAGATAGATAGATAGATAGATAGATAAGAACACACTGAGATAGATAGATAGATAGATAGATAGATAGATAGATAGATAGATACGAACTGACAAATAAAAACAGACTGAGATAGATAGATAGATAGATAGATAGATAGATAGATAGATCTTTATATAATTGATTATGTTGGATAAGTCACACATAGATAGACAGACATTGGCAGCATCTTCGTTGCCTGGTTATTCAAACCGCCAACAATAGTCGAACTTGGAAGGCTGATACTCAAGCAAGATACTTTTGTAGACATAAGATCGAAGATTTGAAAGGTAAAATTCTTCAGTCATTTTTCTTCATCTTCATAAAAGGGTGTACATTTAAATCTATTAAAGTGCAATTTATTTTTCGTTTAATCAAAGCGAAAGACTAAATTCCATCAGAGGAAGATGAAAAGTTATTAAAGCTTTATTTATTTATTTTAACTCCCGTCCGCCGTACAATAATTTAGTAAGTGCGACCCACGATTAAAACGACACCAAGAACAGGAAGAAAATAATGGAGTCAGAATTCGTGATGTTTACAATCAGCGGGAAACGGAATTTATTTGGTTCCAAGGTTGGCAAAACATTGACAGAATCAAAGGAAGAGATGGCGCCACGTAGTTGCCAGGATAGGAAGTTTATAGGTATGAATTCCGTTAATATATAGTTATGAGGTTTTGAGATAGATAGATAGATAGATAGATAGATAGATAGATAGATAGAAACAGAGCGTGATAGATAGATAGATAGATAGATAGATAGATAGATAGATAGATAAAAATAAAGAAAGAAGTGAATTGACTGAGATAGATAGATAGATAGATAGATAGATAGATAGATAGATAGATAGATAAAAACAGAGCGTGACAGATAGATAGATAGATAGATAGATAGATAGATAGATAGATAGATAGATAAAAAGAAAGAAAGAAGTGAATTGACTGAGATAGATAGATAGATAGGTAGATAGATAGATAGATAGATAGATATGAATAGACGGGATCAAAACAGATAGATAGATAGATAGATAGATAGATAGATAGATAGATAGATAGATAGATGATAGATAAATAAAAAGAAAGAAAGAAGTGAATTGACTGAGATAGATAGATAGATAGATAGATAGATAGATAGATAGATAGATAGATATGAATAGACGGGATCAAAACAGATAGATAGATAGATAGATAGATAGATAGATAGATAGATAGATAGATAGATAGATAAAAAGAAAGAAAGAAGTGAATTGACTGAGATAGATAGATAGATAGATAGATAGATAGATAGATAGATAGATAGATAGATAGATATGAATAGACGGGATCAAAACAGATAGATAGATAGATAGATAGATAGATAGATAGATAGATAGAAAAAAAGAAAGAAAGAAGTGAATTGACTGAGATAGATAGATAGATAGATAGATAGATAGATAGATAGATGAATATGAATAGACAGGATCAAAACAGATAGATAGATAGATAGATAGATGAATGCAAGTGACTGAGATAATGATTTTCATATATTTCCCATGCCATCAGATTCTCAGTCAACTAACCACACACACACACACACACACACATATATATATATATATATATATATATATATATATATATATATATATATATATATATTTAAGATAACCTTAATGAATATAATAGTAACAATAATAATGTCAAACAGTTTGTGCATGCAAGAGAAAATTGCAATAATCAAATACAGAAGCGCTGAGCAGTTTTTGAATCAAAGAAACGAACAAGTGTAGACATAAGAACAAGTTCCAAATTTCATAAAAACGTTGACTTTGGGGGATATACACTTGAAGTGTTGATTCTTTTATATCGGTGCTGGCACATTTCTTTATATAGTTATGGTAACACCTTTTCTCTGTTGTTATGGTAGCAGGAGGAGGTACCGTAACTTATAAATATAAAAATACAAATTTCTTTTCCCAATGGTCTCTTTCCCAAATGATCAGACACTTCCGAACTGAAAGGAATTAATTGAGGAACAAACACGATGGTCGACAAACGACTAAAGGCCAAATAAAGAGATAACAGGCAAATAGTTTATTATTTAAAAATATACCAATAAGGTGACGGGGTAAGCCAAAACCAATAAGACAAAAAAATAAATGTTCTGGGACAGAATATTGGGGGGGGGGAACTTATCAGAAAAGTAAACAGTAGCTCATTAGCGATCTTGTGCCAAACTTGCACGTCCAGATAACTGATTATCGCATTTATAGCTGACCGTCCGTGGGCACTTCGACGTGATGTAATGGTTAACAAGCTTGGCTCGCTCGAAAAATTACGACTCAATAGAGTTCGATTCTCACTGGGTGCCCTTTACTTTCGGCCTTGTGCCACACCTAAGCTACGCTTGGAAAATCATTATATTTGGCACCTCGAGGTGGTGTAATCGTTAGCGAGCTTGCCTCTCTAGAACAATTACGACTGAATAGTGAGTTCGATTCTCACTGGGTGCCCTTTACTTTCGGCCTTGTGCCATATCTAAGCTACGCTTGGAAAATCACTATATTTGGCTCCTCGAGGTGGTGTAATGGTTAGTGAGCTTGCCTCTCTAGAACAATTATGACTGAGTAGTGAGTTCGGTTCTCACTGAGTGCCCTTTACTTTCGGCCTTGTGCCACGCTTGGAAAAGCACTATAGCTAACCGTCCTTTCCGTTTCGATTCTGAAACAGGACTAAGTTTCTGACGGTTCTTTTTTTCGCGCCTTGGTTTCGGCACGTGACTCATGATCTCCAAATATGTGTAGGGGAAAAGAGGTCACTGACCCTTTTCCTTTTTCTGCTGTAGTTAAGAGAGTTCAAGGTCGTTTCACGGTCACATCATCATGTTGTCACGTGATCAAAAAAGAGGAATTGCACATTCTTTGCTCGGTGGCATGCAAGTTTCAACGAGACTCGTTACCCTCAATTCTATTATAGTTTTTTTTTTTTTTTTCAAACTTTCTGAGAGTATTTGCATTTCATTTAGAATGCTTCTAAAATATAAGCCTTAAAATCGATTCTATAATAAACTTAGATGAGGGTTCGTAAGAATATGTAGTTGGATGTATGATTGTCTTGCCGATGTATACATGTATATAATTTATAAATTCATGAATCATTCATACAAAAAAACAAATAGAGAGGTTAATGATTTAAATGGCGAGAATACATCTTCGCAAACAATACCAAAAAGATACACCAACCCCGAACCTGCATATGAATGATATGATCCCTGTTTATAAATTCCAGTTGCATAAGGTCTTTTTAATTTTTTACAAGCTTTCGTCTGTTCCTACAGACATCCTCAGGTATGGAAATAGATTTTGTTCTTGTTTTTACTTCTTGGTAATAAGAGGACAACGAAAATAGAGATGTAATCCAAAAAAATGCTATGAGAAATGTGTTATTGTATATATGTATATAATTGTCTTGCCGATGTATATATGTATATAATTTTAAATTAAAACCATTAGTAATATTATCTATACATCAATATACCTTTTTTTATCTTTTATTATTCTTTATAAAAAAAAAATCCTTTTAATTTACTTTTAAAGTAATACCTCATTTCTGTTTGATATTATTATTATATTTACTGTTCGGAAGAAGTTGTAGCTGACGGAAGGTACACAAGTCGATACGCGATCAGTATTGACTAGGTCACTGTGGAGAAGGGTATGATGTTGAAAGACCTAAAACCCCAAATGAATCTCGGCTAGAAACATCACTGATGATGTGTAATAAAGCATCCAATAGATGTATTTTACGAAATATTATTATTATTATTATTATTATTACTATACAGGGTGACCAAAAAAAACGGGAACATTTTAACAATCCAATAAAACCAAGAGTGATGGAAGAAAAATATTTCATTCATAGTAATTGAAACCTTAAAACATGCCATTTAAGAAACAATGATGGAATTTTCATTTTTTAAAAATTACGTCCTGTAGATGGCGTCCTCCTGTGCGAATGCATTCTTGAAATCTGCTGTTGAGATTCCTCATTGACTGCTGCAACATCTCAGCTGTAATACTGTGAATATCATCTTGAATTCTAAATGGCGAAATGTTTCCTTACTCAAGGTCACTGTCTCGCAGTGTTGCCACGTGCTCATGTCTGGCAATACGCACTTCAAAAATTCCCGTTTTTTGGGGGTCACTCTATATTAAGGTTATCTTTATTAGACTGATTTGAAATTGTGTTGATTTGTCCTGTCTAAAATAACAGGCCATATCGGTCAATTTTCTGTATTTCTTTCAAATCTGATCACACATCACATCATCCGATGTACAAACTTTCATCCGTTTGAGGAAAAAAAAATTCATGGCAAGGTCATCCTATTTTAGTTTTATTACTATCCCTTCATTTCTTCCTTTATCTTTTTCCTTTCCTTTACACACACTCTCTCTCTCTCTCTCTCTATCCCCCCTCTATCTCTATTTCACGTTTTCAAAAGAATTTTCTATCAGAAAATCTGTTATTTTTCTTTGTTCCTCTCCCTCCTTCTTCTCTTCTCTCTTAGACAACAATAGGAGTAGATAGGTCCGACGATCTTCCGTTCATAATTCTCTCTGGTCTTTTAAATAGCAGAAGACGTTTATCACTTGTCAACTGTTTAAGATTGGGTTTCCGGTTCCCTCTGAAACCTTCTCATTCTATTTCTCTTCCTATATAGTCCTTTGCGTCTTAGTGGCAATATTATCGCCTTGAGCCTTACTTGTGGTGAATTAACATATATATGAGCCTTTTATATTATATTCTTGCTCTGTCCTGGACATTGGACCCTACCTAGATTCTATCTTGGAAATATATATATATATATATATATATATATATATATATATATATATATATATATATATATATATAAATAATCATACATAGAATCAATCAGCAATATTAATGCGGTTAATGTCAAAATCACTTCGCTAGTAGAACATAATGTATGCATTAAAATACTGTTAATCCATTGAATGATGTGATCCCCATTTATAAAACTGTTGTCAGATGTTTCTAGTGTATATTTTTTTTATTTTAAGCAAGTACTTTCAAAGATCCATGTCTTCATCATCAGGCTGTAATTTTTTTCCTTTAAAGTTAAAACTTGAAGACGAAATAATTGTTTGTAGACCGAAAGATGTTTTTTAAGAATGTGTTATTTATTGACGATTGTACAATATCGGAACGTACGAGTCGCAACGCTAAAGTTCAAAATTTCAAGTGTGAATCTTGATATGAATTTTGTA